TGACTGTAATAACCATTAAGTAGAAATAGTACTTCAAATTTTGATTTTTGATCTTTTCCTGGGCTAGTTATATGCAATATCATACTTGCTTACGCTGGGCAGCTGTGGTAACCTGCAGCTCCCAATCAGCCATGCGACGATGAGGGTAAACAACGAATACTGTACTATACTGTATTCAATATATTCAACAATTTATTATAAAATAGGCTTTGTCTTAGATTATTTTGCCCAACAATAGGCTAATATAAGTATTCTCAGTTTGTTTTTTTTTTTTTTTTGAGATGGAGTCTTACTCTGTCACCAGGCTGGAGTGCAGTGGCCCAATCTTGGCTCATTGCAACCTCCATTTCCCAGGTTCAAGTGATTGCCCTGCCTCAGCCTCCCAAGTAGCTGGGACTACAGGCGCATGCCACCACACCTGGCTAATTTTTTTGTATTTTAATAGAGACAGGTTTTCACCATGTTGGCCAGGATGGTCTCGATGTCCTGACTTTATGATCTGCAAACCTTGGCCTCCCAAAGTGCTGGGATTATGGATGTGATCCACCATGCCTGGCCAGTATTCTGAACGTGTTTAAGGTAGGCTAGGCTAAGCTATGATGTTTGGTAGGTTAGGTGTACTATGCATTTTTTGATTTATATTTTCAATTTACAATGGGTTTATTGGGACTTAACACCAACAAAAGTTGAGGAACATCTGTATTAGTAAATCCTGTGCAAAAAGAATTATATACCACAGCTGAGTAGGATTTATCCCAGATATGCAAGGCTGGTTTAACATTTGAAAATCAATTAACGGCCAGGTGCGGTGGCTCACGCCTGTAATCCCAGCACTTTGGGAGGCCAAGGTGGGCGGATCACTTGAGCTCTGGAGTTCAAGACCAGCCTGGCCAAAGTAGTGAACTCCTGTCACTATTAAAAAGTACAAAAATTAGCCCAGCGTGGTGGCAGGAGCCTGTAATCCCAGCTACTTGGGAGGCTGAGGCAGGAGAATCACTTGAACCTGGGAGGTGGAGGATGCAGTGAGCCAAGATCGCATCACTGCACTCCAGCCTGGACAACAGAGCGAGACTGGGTCTCAACAACAACAAAAAAAGAAAATAAATTTACATAATCAATCACATGAGCATATCAATAGATATAGGAAAAGCACTGGACAAAATCCAACACCCATTCACAATAAGAACTCTCAGCAAACTAGGAATAGACAGGAATCTCCTCAACTTAATGAAGAACATCTACAAAATACCTATGCTAACATCAGATATAATGGTGAGAAACTCAAAACTTTCCCTTAAGATCGGGAACAAAGTAAGGATGTCCTCTCTCACCACTGCTTTCCAACATCATATTGGAAGTCTTAGTTAATGCAATAAGACAAGAAAAGGAAATTTTATACAGATTGGGATGGAAGAAATAAAACTGTCTTTGTTAGCAGATGACATGACCATCTATGTAGAAAATCTGACCAGAAAATCCCTCCTGGAACTAATAAGCAATTATAGCAAGGTTTCAGGATACAGAATTAATATATAAGAGCCAATCATTTTCCTATACCAGCAATGAGTAAGTGGAATTTGAAATTAAAAACACATTAGCATTATGTTAGCAACACCCAAAATGAAATACATAGGTATAAGTCTAACAAAATATGCACAAAACTTGGATGAAAATCTTCAAAGAACATCTAAATAATTGGAGATATATTCCATATTCATGGACAGGAGGTTTACTGTTATCAGTTCTGGCTGGGTGCGGTAGCTCATGCCTGTAATCCCAGCACTTTGGGAGGCCGAGGCAGGCAGATCAAGAGGTTAGGAGTTCGAGACCAGCCTGATCAACATGTAAACCCCGTCTCTACTAAAATACAAAAATTAGCCGGGTGTGGTGTTGTGCGCCTGTAATCCCAGCTTCTCAGGAGGCTGAGGCAGGAGAATCGCTTGAAACCAGGAGTCAGAGGTTGCAGTGAGCCAAGATTGCGCCATTGCACTCCAGCCTGGGTGATGCGCGAGACTCCATCTCTAAATAAATAAATAAATAAATAAATATCGGTACTTCCTCACTTGATCTACAGATTCAATGCAATCCCAATAACAATTCCAGCAAGTTATTTTGTACATATTGAAAAATTGATTCTAAAAGTAATATGGAAATGCAAAAGATCTAAAATATTGAAAGAGAACATCAGAGGACTGCCACTACCCAACTTCAAGACTTGCCACAAAGTGACAGTATTAAAGACAGCGTAGTACTGGCAAAAGAATAAGCAAACGCAGCAGAATGGAGATCTTAGGAATAGATCCACATGAATATAGTAAACTGATCTTTGACAAAGGAGCAAAGGCAATATTAATGAAGCAAAGATAGTCTTTTCAACAAGTGGTGCTGGAACAACTGGACAGTGACAAACAAAAATATGAATCTAGACAAACACCTTACATCTTTAAAAAAAAATTAACTCAAAATGGGCCACTGACCTAAATGTAAAACATAAAACTGTAACATTTGCAGAAGAGAAAACCTAGATAATCTTGGGTTTGGTGATGACTTCAGATACACCACCAAAGCACAGTCCATGAAATAAAGAACTGATGAGATGGACTTGCTCTGTGAAAGACAATGTTAAGAGAATTGGAAGTGAAGCCACAGACTGGGAGAAAATTTTGCAAGTCACTGCTGATAAAGGGCTGTTATCTACAATATACAAGGAATTCCTAAAACGTAACAATAAGAAAACGAATAACCTGATTGAAAAATGAGCAAAAGACCTGAACAGACACCTCGCCAAAGAAGATATATAGATGGCAAGTCAGCATATGAAAAATGGCAACATCCTATGTCATTAGGAAATTGCAAATTAAAACAATATGATACTACTACATATCTACTAGAACAAAGAAACCCAAAACACTGACAATACCAAATGTTCATCAAGTATAGAAACTTTGGAAGGCAGTCTGGTGGTTTCTTAATAAACTAAATATATTCTTACCATATGATTCAACCATCTTGATCCTTGGTATTGATCCAAATGAAATGAAAACTTATGTCTATACAAAACTTGCACACAGATGTTTATAGCAGCTTTATTCCTAATTGCCAAAACTTGGAAGCAACCAAGATGGTTTTCAGTAGATGAATGGATAAACTGTGGTAATTCAGACAATGGAATATTATTCAACTCTAAAAAGAAATGAGCTATAAAGCTTTGAAGATAAATGGAAGAAATGTAAATGCATACTGCTAAGTGAAGAAGCCAGTATGACTATATGACATTCTGGAAAAGACAGAACTATGTAAACAGTAAAAAGGTCAGTGGTTTCCAGGGGTTAGAGAAGAGGGAGGAATGAACAGGCAGAGCACAGAGGATTTCTTAGGGCAGTGAAACTATTTTGTATGATACTACACTGGTGAATACATGTCCTTATATACATGTCAAAACCCATAGAATATACAATACCAAGAATGAGCCATAATGTAAACAACAGACATTGAATGATTTGAAAAAATCATGCTGTGCCCACATGCTGGACTGTATGGCAACTTCATCAAAGTGGAAATTCCAAAAGAATTAAATAAATACAATGGAAAGAGGCACCAAAAAACGTGGGTATGGGGATCATCTGCTCCTTAAAATTGCTTCTTTTCCTCCCAGAAATTCTGAAATCTAAATTTTAATTCATCAATAGTATGCACTACCCTGACAATTATTCTACCACAGTGACTTTATTTCTCTCACATACATGTTTAAATAACACACTGGTGGCTGGGCATGGTGGCTCATGCCTGTAATCCCAGCACTTCGGAAGGCCAAGGCAGGCGGATCACTTGACGTTAGGAGTTTGAGACCAGCCTGGCCAACACGGCAAAACCCCGTCTCTACTAAAAATACAAAAATTAGTGCTGGGCGTGGTGGCACGCACCTGTAATCCTAGCTACTTGGGTGACTGAGGCACGAGAATTGCTTGAACCTGGGAGGCGGAGGTTGCAGTGAGCTGAGACCGCACCACTGCATTCCAGCCTGGGTGACAGAGTGAGACTCTGTCTCCAAAAAAAACAAAAAAACCCCCACATTGACGAAAACATCAGTGTGTGTGTCAGCTGACAGTACAAAGTTCCAAAGTATATACACATCTCATATATATGTGATGGATATGTGTATATATATATATGAGATATATATATATGAGATATATTTTTATATATATATATATATGCATGCATGCGCTATAGGTGCATGCCACTACACCCAGCTAATTTTTGTATTTTTGGTAGAGAAAGGGTTTTGCCATGTTGGCCAGGCTGGTCTCGAACTCCTGGCCTTAAGTGATCTGTCCACCACGGCCCCCCAAAGTGCTGGAATTACAGACATGAGCCACCATGCCCAGCCTCTAAAAAATATTTCTAAAGGTGTTTTTGCAAAAATACTATTTGGAAAAAAAGTACACTAATTTTGATGTGTTATTATATCACACTAAAAATAATAATAACCTTAAAAGAATCCTTTCTGACAACTGTAATATTCTGAGTTTTTGTTTTTTGTTAACAGACAGGTTGGTCTTGAATTTCTGGCCTCAAGCAAGCCTCCTGCCTCAGCCTCCCAGAATGCTGGGATTACAGCCGTTAGCCACTGCACCTGGCCAGATTTTCATTCTCTTAAAGCCCATCAGAGTGTGTATTTTGAGGGGGCTAATCCAACTTTTAATGTTCCAAATACACCATTTAAAAATAGAGGTGCTCTTCTAAGAGGCGAGCGAAGGCATTCACATAATCCAGAAGCCATTTTAAAACGGTGTTCCTTCTGCTCAATGTCATCTATCAATATCTAATCAGATTTTGATATATTTTTGCCTTAAATATAAAAGACTGATGCTAAAGTTCATCAGCATCGTAACATAATAAGGTAATTATTTCCAAGATGTGAATTACTTGTGAGATTCATTTTCTAAATCTGTTATTCAGCCTAAAAATAGTGAGAAAAATGAAAACTGACAATGAAATATTTTTTGTACAATCAATTCTAATGACTGCTTTACACTGACAAAAACGAAGACAGTAATCACATATACTTTGTACAATAAATAAAATGTAAAAAAATATTTCAATACATAAATAGAAGCTTTACACATCCAAAATACAGTAAATATATATGAAATATCTCTCTAAAATTCAATGAAATACTACAAACTACTATAATTTTCATTTATAAATTATATATATTTCAATATAGAAATATTTTTCTTTAACATTTTAAATTTCAGAGATAACTTGCATGGTAATATTGTGGAGAATAATTTCATATACCAAGCTTTTTAGTAATTAATTGTAATTAGTAATTCAATGGAAGGGCATGATTGTGATAATATGAAGAAAAATTTCTTAATTATGCCAAAAGTACCATTTTTAGGAATATAAAGATACAGTGTTCTATTTCTGTAGAGATGGTAATGCTGAAAATAAAACGGAAGGTATGAGATTTTTTCAGTATCCGTCTTGAGCACAACTCTGTGGAATGGTGTGGGCCAAACTGAGGGGTTTCTATAAAGTCAAATTACTAGATTACCATCCCATCTCATTACTTACAAAAATTACTTTAGAAGCAGTCTTCTAAGGCAAAATGTATTTTAATATGTCTCAAAAAGTTAATAAAAATACTGCTTCTCAATGTTTCAAAGCCTGTATGATAAATAAACCTCCACTTTATGTACTTTAAAGCATAGTCTTTATATATAAACTAGACAAACTAATAACTTAGGGGTAATGGAGAGACAATTGACATTTATTCCTCTATTCGAATAAAGGTGAGGAAAAGTTATGATGATGCCTAAGAATACTTTACTAGGTAAGTGTTGAAAAGGGCAGGAGTTCATTATTTAATACCATTCTGGTGTTTGCCTATTTTATAATATCTGGCCCACTGTATTAGTTATTCAAGGAGAACCTTAGGTAACTTCAAAATGACTTGAGAAAGTTTATTCTTTCTGAAAGTGTATATGTAGTGTTTTCGCATACATACATGTATTTATATATTTATGAAATTACGTTGGGGATGTCTGAAGTTCTTGAGAGTAATTTCTTATTCTCAAATGTATGTAATCTTTCCAGTAAAGAATACATATTTGAGTTAAAATCTGTTATAACTGTACTTACTTTCAGAAAGAATAATTGTTCTGTAGCTTGTAAGGGAATTTGTTTACAAATATAAATTAATCTGCATTAACATCTTTTTTTCATATATCCCATGGCATACAGTCACTTAACAGAGTATTTGTATTCCAAATTTTATCCTTTAAATAGAGCCTGCAATTTGGGAGTGTAAATGTACAGTCTGATTAAAATGTTAAGACATACTAAATATGTAGAGTATATAACAATTTAATTGCTACTGATCCACTGATACTTCTTTTCTGTTTCTTCTTTTTGGACTCTTTGTTCTTCTCGGTGATTAGCTGCAGCCCAAAATGTTATTTTTTTGAGTACTTGTTGCAGAAGTTTAGGAGGTAACAAAGATATCTGACTTTCTAACATGATAGAATTTTTACCAATGCAGTCAAGGCATGACCTGTAAATAAAACATAACAGAATTATTAGTCTTGAACCTGAGGTTATAATATAAAAGATTTATAGTTAAGAATTATTTCTTTTTTAACATTGTAGTACTGGACTTCCACCTTTTTTCAGTTTTAATTTTTGTCAGTACATAGTAGGTATATATATTTATGCAGTACATGAGATGTTTTGACACAGATACGCAATGCATAATAATCATGACATGGAAAATGGGGTATCCATCCACTCAAACATTTATCCTTTGTTATAGTTAAGTATTCCTAAAATTTAAAATCATCATAAAAATTTTATATGGCAATGCATTCATTTGTCTTGTTTGGAACATGATAGGATTTTTTTCCCCAGAGCACCACAATAATCATGTATTTTTATAGCATAGAGACTAAATCTGACCAAAACCCAACGGAAACAGAATATACGGCTTACCATGCATAATGTTCTTTAAGTAAAAATGATTCAGACTTAATTTCAAACCAGATGAGTCTACAGCAGCTCCTGTTTATGTTATCCTTTCAATCAGCCCAGTAACCATATACCGTTCTCTCAGAACTGCCCTTTGCTTCTGTCACCTCAAGATGAAACATCTAACATCTATTTTTATATCTGCTCCATGTTTTCTCCATAAACAACTGCACGGGGGTTACACACTTGACTTATGTGACCCAGAGAGAGCAGGTTGAAAGACAGGAATAGAGCAATACAGAAAGTGCCAAGAGACCACTTGGGTTTCTACTCTTCTGGGGGCCTGGGTGTTCATTTCTTTTCCCTTTGATTCCATTAGACTAGAGGGCAGTATCCTTCCAAGTACAATGCCCTTTTAAATCTTACGCTATTTTGAAGAGGATTTTGTACTTTAAAACCAAAAGAAACTTAAGAACTATCAAAAAAGCATCTGTTTCAATTAATAAACTTTAATTCAAAAAATAAGTGTTAAAAATTTTTTTTAACAGACTCATTTGATTCTGCTGTGGTTTAGTTGTCATTGTTACAAGCACTTAGACTCTTAGAGATTTAGATGTTCTTCCATACTCTTATGAAGCTTCTTCCCTCCACTCTGGAACAACTCTAAACAAGAAGTGAGTTAAAATGTCCTGGGAGGTCGAAGTACAGGTACAGGGTTCTGTGGGAATCAGAGGAAAAGAATAACTAAGACAACCTTAGCAAGCCCAGGGAAACTCTCCCGATGGGAGGTCCAAGCTGAGACCTTGAGGTCCTCAACAAATTAAAGAAACAAAGGTATTCCAGCTAGAAGAACCACACTGGCAAAGCCCTAGAGATGAGAAATAAGATTACAGAAACTGCACTTCTATTGTCTAAATACAGCTGGAGGGCAGAGCATTAGAGTGGGGCATGGCCAGAAGTGAGACAGATAAATGGAGGCCCTGAGTACCACTCGAAGGAATCTGCAGTTTGTCTCTGGCAGTGGGAGCCAAGCAGGAATCATCACAATACAACAGGTGATATGTCAGCCTTCCATAGGAATATATAAGAATATTTCATGACTAATTTTTTTTTTTCCCCTGAGATGGAGTCTTTCTCTGTTACCCAGGCTGGAGTGCAGTGGCCTGATCTCAGCTTACTGCAACCTCCCACTCCTGGGTTCAAGCGATTCTCCTGTCTCAGCCTCCTGAGTAGCTGCTATTACAGGTGTGTGCCATACCACGCCCGGCTAATTTTTGTATTTTTAATAGAAATGGGGTTTCGCCCATCTGTTGGCGCAGGCTGTTTTGAACGCTTACACCTCAAGTGATCCGCCCACCTTGGCTCCCAAAGCGCCTTGGGATTACAGGCTCCGCAGTCACTCGGCTGCCCGGCCTCATGTCTAATTTTTATAACATACGCCACCCAAATTGCAGATACTCCTAAATATCCTATTAATAACGCACTGCAGTTACATACGAAAAATGGTGTTTTTTTTTGTGTTTGGTTTTTGGGACGGCAGGTCTCACCTGTTGCCCAGGCTGGAAGTGCTAGTAATCCGTGATCCTCGGCTCACTGCAGCTTCCGCCTTCCCAAGTTTCAAGCAATTCTCTCACCTCATCCTCCAAGTAGCTGGGACTAACACGGCGTATGCCCCACACCCCCAGCTAATTTTTTTTGCTATTTTTTATGGAGATCCGGCGGTGTTCCAACCGACTTTGGCCGCTAGTCCCCCTCGAACTTCAAAACTCTGCCTTCGGTGATTCACCTGCTCGACTCCTTCAAAGCATCGCTGGATTACAGGCTTGAGCGCATATTGCACTAGCCAATAAATTGTATTCTCCAACGAGATAGAACCTATATAGCCATCACTAACAAGTTAGGATTTATTACATTGAATGATTATTTACATGAAAGATATTACAAAACAGCCTGCATAATTTGATCCTTTATACACATTCACATATACATATATGTTGCTGCTTCTTGCTGAGGTTTCCAATGACCTCTTACACTGATTATCTCCACTCTAATCATTTAATAAAATCATTAAAATCATGTTTATATGGTTATACATTGATCATTATATAAATGATTTATATATAAAAATCTCTCTCTGCTGGGCGGTGTGCGCTCACCGCCTGTAATCCAGCACTTTGGGAGGCAAAGGCGGCAGACGTCATGAGGTCAGGAGTTCGAGACCAGCCTGGCAATATGGTGAAACCCCGTCCCTACTAAAATACAAAAATTAGCTGGTGTGTGGTGTGGCGTACCTGTAATTCCAGTTACTCGGGAGGCTGAGCAGAAGAATAGCTTGAACCTGGGAGGCGGAGGCTGCAGAGAGCCAAGATTGCACCACTGCACTCCAGCCCTTGGCAAAAGAAAAAAAAAAGCAAAAAAAAAAAAAAACAAAACTCTCTCTCTCAGTATATTATATATACTACTATATACTTTTACATCCCACACCACATTATATATACACACGACATACTATATACA